GACCACTACGCCGGCAACTTTACGTACGTCCCGGTGACCCAACAGGGCTATTGGCAATTCACCATGGACAGTGTCAGTATTGCTGGTGCCCTGAGTGGACAGTATTGTTCGGGGGGCTGTCAGGCCATCGCAGACACCGGCACTTCGATGATTGTGGGACCGACCGACGCGATTGCGGCCATAAACCAAGCGATCGGTGCCTTTAGCGTAGGGGAGGGTTATTATGGGGTCGACTGCCGTAAAGTGCGGTCAATGCCGACAGTCATGCTTACTATCGGCGGTCACGCCTTCCCGTTAACGGCCGCACAGTATGTGTTGCAACAGTCGAGCGGACCCTTCGGTGAGTCCCAGTGTTTGTCTGGCTTTTCGGCCGGAGGTTCGGACCCCTTATGGACTTTAGGCGATGTGTTTATTGGCACATATTATACTGAATTTGATTTCGGTAATAATAGGTTGGGATTCGCACCAACCAAATAGTAATCATAATTAATCATCATTGATTTTATGATAGATGATAATATTGATACTTTATTATTAAAACTTGTTCTATTTATGCAAACTGTAATATGTTTAATTTTACTATTTTTAATATAAATCTTAATAATATAACTAATGTATTGGCTAATTTAGATCTCTCTCATTTACACATATTTAATTTAGTATATTTAATGCTTTAAATTTTACTTATAAACAGTAATTATTTTAGTATTATTATTTTAGTGTATATTATTTATTATAATAATTTTTAAATTGGTAACATTAAATACATTAACATTATATATTTTAAATTATTCAAACTTATTTTATAAATTATAAAGTTTGTTATAAAAAAAGTATAGTTAATATATCAATATTTTATTATTTTTTATAAATAATTTAGTAAAATATTGTTATGATATTTATGATATTATTATTTAAAACTGTTTATGTTGTTTTAAAATAGTAAATAATTTTAAGCAATTAATCAAAGTACTAATATAGTTAAAAATTATTTTATTTTATTAATTGAAATTGAAAAACAACAATGATTGATTTGGACTTTACAATAAACAATAAGGTTTCAAAATATTTTTGTAGAAATCATTTTGCAACGAACATGATCATCTATGTTGCCATTGCTTAATTTTAATTATTGTTAAAACATTTTATCATAAACATATTAATTAAGTTGTTAAAAAAATGTACTTTATAAATATGAAACATAACTAAAATTTAATCAAATATATAATTAATTAATTTAAACAATATGTTATTTATATGTAACAGAAAATTATTGGGAATTTGTTAATATGCCCTTGTTGATAATATCCTTGTAGGGGTTCATTGTATTTATTTTATACGTACATTACACGTAAATACGTAAAACATAATACAATTAATTATAAAATTGTAACTTTTATAATAACGACAACGAGGGCATAAGTAAAAATTAAGTAATAGTGTGTTTATAAAACAAAAATAATTAACTAAATAATATTCAGGCTTAAAATATTTAGTTGGATAATTGTTTATTATAAAATTTAGTAATCTTTATTTAATAACATTTTAAATAATATAATTTCCTTAACGCTACTATAATAATCTTCATAAAATATATACAATGTAACTTTAATAAACATCTGAATTATATCAAATTGATATTATCAATATAATTAAAGAAACATAAAAAATAAACATAAAAATACAAATACCCATGGTGATACCTTCGTACTACATAAATAATAAGAAATAATTATTAAATATTATTATTGTCAATATTTCAATGTAAATATTGCAATTAAATTGTCAATTGAAAACATATTTATAAATTAAAAATTAAGTAATTAATTACAAAAGCTTACAATGATAAATAATAAAATAACAAAATACAAGTTTTTATTTTTTAAACCATATTGTTTATTGAAAAGTGTATCCAAAAATCAAATCCTATTATTCTTGATGGTGATAATCAAAACAAATTAATCAATAATTAAGTACGTAATTGAGTTTAAAAAACAATTATTGTAGTAAACAAAACAAAATCAAAAACAACACATTTGTATAAATAGCGCATAATATTTGTAATATCTATCAGTTATTTAAGTTAATGTAAAAATATTAATATTGAAAGTTAAATATAATTTTATACTTCATAATGAAAACTATTAATCTATTGATAATACATCTAACATTATGCCTGTTAGTAGTATACAGCTCCGCCTTGACCAGGGTAAATGTGTCCAAACACAAATCCATCAGGCACCATCTACGTGAGCATGGCATCATGGTCAATCACACTTCCACCTGCGCTAATACACCTCAGACCAGAGCCAATGGACAGGCAGTCATACCAATACAGCTCACAAACTATATGGACGCCGAGTACTTCGGGGACATAACTCTTGGCACTCCACCCCAATCGTTTAACGTATGTGTTTAAGCATAATTATTTATTAAATTTAAAATCATTACTAATACAGGTCAATTTTTATTAACCCGTTGTTTGTTAATGCAAGCTTTTATTTTTAAAAACTGTAACATAGTAGTTATGCTTAAAATAAGTATTTATAATGTTTTGTTAAAATATTATTTCTAAATATTTCCTAATACTGTACACTACACATTTACTATATGTGGAGTTTTCAATCAATATTGATTAGCAAAATAGCAAATTCATGAACACAAGCATGCATTTCCGTTATTTTCTCTGGATATTGAGATTAGGCAAATATTTTTAAACCCCGTTGAATTATATTTATTAAAGATAAAAATAAGATCGAGGTCTATTTTCTATTAACTTTTGAATCGCTTATTTAAAACAAGCTTTCATTTAAAAACTGTAATAAAATATTTGTGCATAAAATGAGTTCATATAAAGTTTTGTTAAAATGTAACTTTTAAATATTTCCTAATAAATTACACTATATATAGGAATTTCAATCAATACTTTATTGATTTGCAAATTTAATATAATAATATAATAGCACTCTATTCTTAAAATATATTAAATCGGGAAATATTTTTAAACTATTTTTTAAATTACTTGATTATTAAATAGTCAATATGATCATGTTCATTATTATAGATACTGTTCGATACGGGCAGCTCTAACCTATGGGTGCCGTCCAGCGGGTGCCGATCCACAGCCTGTCAAACCCATCACAGGTACTACTCGTCCCGATCTTCCACTTACAGACCGAACGGACGATCATTTTCCATACAATACGGCACCGGCAGTACCACTGGCTTTCTCAGCACCGATACCCTGGGCATTGGTAGCTCACAAATACGTGGCCAGACGTTTGCCGAGACAACAAACGAGCCTGGTACAACATTTGTTTACGCCGAGTTTGACGGCATACTAGGCATGGGTTACCCGCAGATATCGGTAGACAGAGTGACCCCAGTGTTCAACAATATGATAGCACAGGGAGTG